TAAGAGGACTGGAGCACCTTCCCTACAAAGACAGGCTGAAAAGTTGGGGCTGTTCAGCCTGGAGAAAAGAAGGTTGTGTGGAAACCTCAGAGCAACCTTCCAGTATCTGAAAGGGCTACAGGGAAGCTGGAGAAGGACTCTTGGTTAGAAGCTGTAGTGACAGGACAAGAGGTAATGGGGATAAATTGAAAGGGGAAATTTAGATTAGATATGAAGAAGTTTTTTATTGTGAGGGTGGTGAGACACTGGCACAGGCTGCCCAGGGAGGCTGTGGCTGCCCCAACCCTGGCAGTGTTCAAAGCCAGGTTGGATAAACCCTTGAGCAACCTGCTCTGGTGGGAGGTGTCCTTGCCCAGGGCAGGAGGTTAGGACTAGATGATACCTAAGGTTAATTCCAGCCCCTTAAGATGCTATAGAAAGGGGAATGAAAGGTGGTTTTTTTTCTGAATGCTGTTTTCTGAACTGCAGAAGCTTGTTTCTCACATGAGAATTTGTTACAAAACATGTAAAGTATCTTTTATACCTTAGTAGAACTTTACCTTTTTAGTTTTGTAACAGTAAAACTTCTGCACTACATAAATGTGCAAAAGAAAGGATCCTTTTATCAGCTGTGAAATGAACCACACTAGCTGCTAGGTAGTGTTTAATGCTACATGAACACAGAAGGAAAAATGAAGAGCTGTGTTCTGTCTGTCACCAAGACAGCATATACTTAATTTTACAGTTTTGGACAATTTGTTAGAAAAACTAATATTCTAGTTATTCTATAAAAGGTACTTGTGACCACCTCCTTCTATGCCATTCTTGTTGCTCTGAATTCTCATTCTTTGTTGCTCTGCAGCCTGCTAACAGTTCTTTTTTTTCACCAATGTTCTTCCCACTTTTAGTCTTCTGAACATTATGTTTTATTACAGTTGACTGTCAGCAGTAACCCCACTTATTGGATGGAGTTAATTACCTTTTCTAAAAACACACCTCTGAACTCAAACTTATAGTGTTCAGAAAATGAGATTTTACATTGCATTTTGTAGTTAATTAAAATGAGGAGGAATGACTTTGATAGCAGGGATCTTTAATCAGCTTTTTAATTACCTGAAGCATTTGTACTATCCTTTGCTTGGAACAAGCTGTTTAAGTGCTCAGTTGCTTTTTGTTCTCTCCTGGGAGTAGCATGCAGAAACTAATTTGAAATTCTGGCCTCTTTCAGGTGTTGTTCCTGGAGCTGAAGTTGCCACAGAATGGAGATGTGAAGGTTCAAGGGAATAAGAAAACTCTGGGTTACACCAGAAGAGCAACTGCTAAAGGAAACAGGGTTAGGTTAAGCAAGCAGTTCAGTACAACCAAGGTACAGTAAAGTCTGTTTCTAGTCTGAAAATAAGTTTTAGCTGCCTTTTGCTTTTCCAGTTACCACTGGAAATTCAAGCTGCATTCTGCCTCCTCTGTTAGCAGAGTTAGTAACTCCTACTTTTCTAAAGCCTGAGTGCAGTGAGGACATGGCTATAAATAGCAGGCTTCAATAAGAATAAATCAGGCAGAATCTGATTTCTCAGATCACGTGTAAGACCAAAATAGTACAATAATTTTGTAAAGCCAATAGCAGAAGAATTTTTCAACATCAGCTTGAAAGATACTTAAATACCATGTTGATTAAATACAGTATTTTCCTTGCCTACTACTATCTTATCTGTGTTTTGTGCTTCAGAGGATTTGTCTTCAGAATGGCTGATCTGACAGATTATCAAATTTAGTATATCAGGAGCTTGTATATATGTGAAGGCTATTGATATCCTTGCCAGTTGATAAATATTGTGGACCTGCATTAATACCAACTGCTGCAGGCTAATGGATGCTCTTGCTGGACAAGTGAAATTAGGAGATATATATGTTCTCTGCTTTCAGGACTCATTAATCTGTGTTGTTTTCTTAGTTTCCCCTTGTTCAGTGTAGTCTGTACTTGGAAGACAAGTATCGATTTCTGAGACTCAAGAGGCAGTGAAGATGAGTGCAGTGGAGGTGGCAGAGCAGGGAGCAAGGAGCAAAGGAAGGATTTCCTTCTTTTGTGATATGTTGGGTTGAGACTGCAGCTGCTTGCTGCATACAAAAGATGTTATTCTGAGAAATGTTTGCATGCCTTTTGAAATTCTTGTTAGTCCCTTCATATTTCTGATTAAACTGAAAGGATTTGATTGCTAGTGCTCAGCTTTGTCTTTCAAGGAGCATGGCCAAGGGCTTCACGTTGTGTTCCTAGTGTACAGATAGGAGAGAGCAGGGAGAAAAATATGCAAGAAGATGGAGGAAGAGAATTTACCCTGGACAAGAGGAGACAACATAGGGGACCCATGGCATGTGATGCTTTATTTGATTGTTTCAGGTGGTTTATTGGTTGGTGCAGATTAAGAGCAATGATGAGGGTGCAAAAGTCCAAAGAGAAGTTATTGTCTTCTTGTGTGTAATAAAACTGCAGCTGTGTCTCATGGTGCTTTGATTACCCAGGTGTAGGTGGTATAAGTGGAGAGGATATCCATTTAATCTTAAGGCAGTGACACTGGAAACTCATTGTGGGTGAAGGAGTCACTTTTTCCTGCACAACTGCAAAAACTTTATAAATAAAGCTTTAAAGGCAGTTGATTAGTTGTGCCCTTTTCTTCCCACAAGGATGTTTTGGAGAAATTAAAGGCACTTCACCCATTGCCAGGACTGATACTGGAATGGAGGAGGATCAACAATGCTATTACTAAAGTGGTGTTTCCACTACAGAGGGAAAAGCGATTGAATTCTGCACTGGGAATGGAAAGGATATATCCAGTTTCACAGACTCACACAGCTACAGGTGAAGAAATGTGTTCAAAATCCTCACTTCTTACTGATTTTTTTTTCCCTTTGTGTGTGTGTGGGCTGTTTTTCTGCGGGGAAAAGATAGGAAATCAAGCCTGTGCTCTACTTCAATCAAACGAAAATACTGAAATTCCTATTTCACATGAATATGCCCTAGAAGTCTAGATATGTTTAAATAGCTTTTGTGTTCACCAAGCAGCATTATTCATTTCTTGCACATATTATTATGCAAATCTCTGACCCCAGAACAGATTCTGGATTTGAGAGTTTCTTATTAGTGATACAGAAATGGGGAACTATCTCAAGCCCATTAAACCTGAATTATTTTTCTATTTCTCCATTTTTCTCAGTGGTCATGTCCTGTCCTACCCTCCTGCCCTTTGTATTTTGGAGATGCAGAGTATGTGCAGCTGTGTTAAGTTAGAGAGACTCCTTATGGACCCTGACTTAGTTCCCACTTGTCTTCTGTCTCAGGTCGAATATCCTTCACAGAGCCAAATATCCAGAATGTGCCCAGAGATTTTGAGATTGAAATGCCAACTGTGGTGGAAGAAAGTCCACCCTCCCAAGCATGTGGAAATGCTGGTTCTCGTGCTGGTTTTGGGGGCAGGTAGGAGGATCTTGGCAAAGCTTCTGTCTAATCTGATCTTAATGTGGTTGGGTTGTCAAATTTCTCTTTTCTTTCTTCACCTGTGGCTGCTGTCTTGTCAGTGTGAGTTGTTATTTAGTGTTTCTCTTACAGGGGAATGAACACCTGAAAACCAGTGATGCATGAAAGACATAATACTAACAGCTTGTGGTTCCAATATAGTCATTTGCTTTTAGAAGTTCTTTATGAAACCCTACAGTGAGATTTGCATTATGCTCCCAGCTGCTGGGTAGAAAGTCTCGGTGTGAAAAGTAGCTAAACTCAAGTTAGGATCTGGTTTGACTTTCTAAGAGCTACTCTGAAAGAGCATAGGTTATTGTGGAAGAAGCAGAAGAAAGTTCATCTGTTTTATGTGGTGCAGCTCCCCGTGAAAGGGAACGTGGGTGAACATATTTTTCATTCTTGGTTAGTAATTTCATTTGTGATGATGACCTGCAAAAGCTGCCAAGCATGTAGCAGAAAAAGATTTCTAAATTTGATTTCTGTTAACCAAATGCCCTCTTTTCTACAATTCTAAGATTCTACTTTGGTAGCATTACAATGACAATGCCTAAACAGTTGTGTGGAAGTCTCATGAAATATCAAGGTTGATCTTTTAGCAGGCTTCATATTTGGTGAGGGTTTTCTGCCCTTTCAGTTTCTCTTTCCTTTCAGGTTCTTGACCCACATGTGTCACCTGAGTGACTTTTATTAATTTTTTTTTGCCCACAGCAAGATGTGAGAAATTTGAGAAGTTTTTTTGCTCTTTTGTCTGGTGCCTCCTACCACCATGTGTCTAACATCCTTTTGCCTTGGGTAGGTCATGGGAAGAAAGCTCAGGAGGAGCAGGATCTTGTCCATCTTTCTTCAGAAGAACCAGGTCTAGCCACAGAGGCAGAAATGTTGTTCTGAAATAAAGCTCTGGCAGTACTCAGGCTTGCAGCAGCTTTCCAGGATAGCTGGGGAGTGTGCTGGGTTCTTGAGAGTCTTGCCTGTAGAGAATAGCCTATCAAAGGAACGGAGTGCCTCTTGAACTTTGAGAGAGGTCTGTTTCTCAGGCTGACTTTTCATGCATTTTCCTACATTCCTTAGTGGTAGGAAGATGGACAATCCTGAAGAAACAGAAATGACTGCTGGCACAAAAGAAACTGTCATGCAGCCTGAGTCTGATATGCCTTTCAAATTTTGGTCCAAAATGTCTATTATTTTAGAATTTACTATTGCTACTCCTTCCTCCTGTAAGAAGCTTTTGACCAATGGAGTGTAACTAAATTAGGTCGTGATATAAAGCCCTTCATTCAACTCATTCAACTGAATTTGGAACCTATGCTGAACAGTGTGATTTTCTGCAATACCTAGTCATGCAGTTGTCCCTCAGCTTTATTTCTTTGGAAAATTTATTTCTGTGATTTTTTTTGTGTGCTTTCTTTCATCTCATTGAGCCCTACCATTCCTGAAATGACAGTGTTTCAGAAGAAAAGGAAGTGCACAGGGGAAGAGAGCATGATGTCTTTTCTGTGCTTTGCTGAAGCTAGTCTTGATCTCAGAGATACCTTTATATTTTGGTAAAGAATTTTCTCAGATCCCTGACCCAAACATCAGGGACTTAAAAAAGCCTTTTACCTTCCAGTGAAGAACCCAATGGTAGAGTAGTACCAATGGGCTGGTAGACTTGTGCTGATGGAAGTAGATGGTGTGAGTGGTGTCAGCACTGTTCACAGTTCAGTGGTGTCATGGTTTAACCCCAGCAGCAGCCAAGAACCACGCAGCCTCTCACTCACTCCCCCACCAACGGGGTGGGGGAGCAAATTAGAAGGATAAAAGCTACAAAAACTCATGGGTTGAGATAAAGACAGTTTAATAGACAAAGCAAAAGCTGCACACACAAGCAAAGCAAAACAAGGAATTAATTCACTGCTTCCCGAAGACAGGAGGTGTTTAGCCATCTCCAGGAGAGCAGGGCCCATCACACGTAACGGTTCCTTGGGAAGACAGACGCCATCACTCCAGATGTCCCCCCTTCCTCCTTCTTCCTCCCACCTTATATACTGAGCATGATGTCATATGGTATGGAATATTCCTTTGGTCAGTTTGGGTCACCTGTCCCAGCTGTGTCTCCTCCCAATCTCCCATGCATCCCCAACTTCCTTGCCAGTGTGGCAGTACGGAAAGCAGCAAAGGCCTTGACTCTGTGTAAGCTCTGCTCAGCAATCACCAAAACATCTCTGCATTATCGACTCTGTGCCCCGCACAAAACCCAAACATAGCCCCATACTAGCCTCTACGAAGAAAGCCAACTCCACTTCAGCTCAAACCAGCACAAGTGGGCACAGTGATGGATACAATTCCACCTGCAGCTACAAATGACTTGGTGGGCCCGGATATTTAAGCAAACCCTGAGAGGATGTAGAGCACCTGGATGACACTGTAAAATTCTGGTGTTCTGGAAACGCAAATCGATTTGCTTTGGGGCATTTTTTTCCACTCAGTCTTTAGGGAGGAAATGTGCAGTTTTATGAGCACATCCTCTGCAACTTCTGCTGTTGTTATAGGTTTGTGTACGTGTGTGCGTGCGCAGTCATGTGGCTAGTGATGTGAGGGAAATTCTGTCTCTACTAGGTATGGGCTGGTGCACACATTTTGCATATGAGAAGGATGTTGAGAGAAGACTTGGCACGCAAGGTGGAGTGTTGAAATTTTAGGATTCCTGTAGGACTCCTTTGCTATCTTTCTAGAATGAGCTCATGACAGATCAGGGCCTATTTATCTTAACTATTTTGGAGTGGAATTATCCCATTTCTGAACCAAATCCTGAATATACTAAGAAGATTTTACCCCTAAACCTTTTCAGAGTCAGTTAAACCCTTCAGGTGTTTATGTGGCCTCTGTCCAGTTGCCCCGTGGTCGAATTTAGGTATGGATTATCCAGAAGAATGGAATAGAGGCCTCTTGTTTTCACTGATTCTTTGTGGCAAAAATGATTATGGATCTTTTAGAGTTTTAGAAATGGGTGAAGCGCAGTCATTCTTTGTCTCCACAGACGTAGAAGCCGTTCCAGTATTTTGCACAATGGGCTAAAGGTTCAGGCCGCAGAGAGATCTGAAGAAAGAGGAATACCATTTGCTGTTAGCATGAGGCATGCTTTTGTTCCCTTTCCAGGTACTGCCCAGATCCTGCTCTGTAACTGCTAAGTAACAAAAGATCCTAAGATGTAATGAAGAGTTAAGAATTGATAACTGTGTATATCTGAGCAGCCTGCTTGGAAAACCAATGCAGTAGTTAGCAAGCCTTCAAAATTATTCACAAGACTGTAGAAGAGAGAGAGTTTCAGCTGGGGAAAGTATTAAAATGGTCACACCTTCATTTCCTCTTTGAGAATACTTGTTTTTTAGAGAGATAGCTTAGTCAGCTCTTAATACACTAATTGCACTCTATCTAATGTTCTTTCTGTCCAAATATCAGTTCTCACATTGCTTGCTCTGGCTCGGACATCTGGGCAGATACTTGTTTATGTGGTTTTGATGGATTCTGGATGTAGGGACTAGATGTGAAGCAGGCAGGACTGAGCATTTGGGAAACAGGAACAAATTTGTCTGATAGAAATGGCTGTGGAAAACTTTCAGAGCAAAAGATGAAGGACAAATTCAGTCCTTTTTGCTGGAAATTTGGATGGAATGTTGGAGTAGTTTATGAAATAATAATTTCTGATAACTTCTTGACTTCAGGTGGCTTAATCTTGGCTGCTGATTACTCTCAGCTTGAACTGAGGGTCCTTGCTCATTTGTCTGGTGACTGTCGACTCATTCAAGCCTTGAACAGTGGTACTGATGTCTTTAAGAGCATTGCAGCAGAATGGAAAATGATTGATCCTGAAGCTGTTGGAGATAGGACAAGGCAACAAGCTAAGCAGGTAACGTTTAGGAAAAGAATTTCAGTAGCAGCTTTCTGGGCAGGAAGGTTCAATGTTCAACACATCATGGAGTCACAATAGTATGGTTTTCTGTTTGAGTTTGGTCGTGATTGTTCAGTAGTTGTTTTGTATGTCCTCCCACTCACAGTACATTTCAGTTGGAGCTGTTGAGGTTTTGGGGGATTGAGGGTGGAGAAAAGAAGCATGAATGGCTTGGACTCAGAGGTGGTCTCTCTTCTTGAACACTTGCCCTTGTTTCCATGCACTTGTCTTCCAGTGAATCACATTTTGTTTTGGCTCTGCTTTCTCTGCATGGCTCACCATATGGTTGTGGTTCTTCACACTGTCCTCTGGCAGATTTGCTATGGAATCATCTATGGAATAGGAGCAAAATCTTTAGGCGAGCAGATGGGGATTGATGAAAATGAAGCTGCCAATTACATTGAATCCTTCAAATCAAGATACACAGGTTTGAATATAGTTGTTTGGGAACTGAGTGGGGGTGGTGGTTGTTGTTTTTAATCCCTTTTCTCCATTTCTCTTCAAATCCTATATTTGTCTCAACCTACCACTCTTATCTTTTGAAACAGCTTTTCATTTTGAAAATCTCCAGTGCATGAACACAGCAGTTTGATACTCCATTATGTTTTACTCTACGCTCTGTTTTTGTTCACATTTAGTACTTTGTTGTTTACTTATTGTGTTAATTATTTTGTTGTTATGTTAATTAATTAATAAGCCCTGGGGAGTGATTTTAAAGCTCTTAACTTTCTGAATGAGAAGCACAATTTTCCTTATTAAAACACATAGCTTCAAAGGATGTGCCACCGTGCTTCTTTTAATTTTAAACTGTAGCCATTTCTTTGTCTTTTATCTTGTCTTCTGCTTTCCTGGAGTTTTAAACTGTTTTGCATATAACCCTTAAACTTTTATCCCACTGCTCAGAGCAACTCTCCCATATTTTGTATAAAGACATTGTTTTGTTCCTAAGAAGCATGTTAATTTTTAGGAAAGCTGTAGAGAGAACAGAGCTGCAATCAGACAAAGAATGGAGGGCAAATCGGACAAGAGGCAGCTCGTTCTAATCATAGAACTTGGAAATGAGGTGGAAAATTATGTCCTGAAGATACAGGGATTTTCTTTAGGAGACAGATGCTGAGAAATAGTTTTTCTATTAAGAGTCTGTTTAGTCTGTAGCAATTTCTGGATAGTCTCTTCTTCATGACCATTAGAAATTACTTCCTGCTCCCTCCCTTTCACTAGGTGTGCACACATCCAAAGTCTGCAATGTACCTTATACTCTAACTTCACTTCCCATGGATTTTCACTTGATATGTATTGCTAGGCTGACCTGCTGAATTCCATACCTGATGAATTGACTAATGCTGTCAGTCTTGACTTTGAATAGTTCCTTTTACATTTCATATTTTGTAAACTCAGAAAGAAACTGTCTGAAGTTAACTTTTGCCGCTTTAGTACAGTTGTTACCTGAACTTGCAGTGAAGGGGACTCTTCCCTGTCTCACCTTTATTTGACCTAAGTTTCTTTTTAACACTCTTGGTGGATTCACTCCTTCCCTCGCAAAGTGCAGGTGGGTGAGTTTCTTTCATCCTAGAATCTGAAGTGACACAGCCTGAAGTCAGACAGCCTGAGGCATCAAGGGCTCTGATTTCGGCTTTCAATTTACTCCCTCCCTACTACTTGCCTTCAGGTTCTGACCTCTCCAGTATCAATAATACATGTATGACCCTCTGTGCCTGGACACTGTGCACAATGGACTTCCCACCTCCTTGTGCACAGCCAGATGTCCTGACACTGTGCACTCTCTTCCACCTCAAAAGTCTTAATAGGTTTTGCAGCAGAGCTGCAAATAGGCTGAAAGAGTGATTGTGTGCCCTTGTCCACGGACATGGTCTAGGAAATGTGAAGAATCACTCTGTGCTGCCTGGGTGTCCCAGACAGCTTTCAGTGACCCCAACAAGAGGTCAACACAGAACATCAGCTGTGTTACAAGAAAGCTTTCTCTTTCCTTTCACAGAGGTTCAGAAATTCTTGAAGGAGACAGTGCGGAGCTGCAGAAGAGATGGGTTTGTGCAGACCATCCTGGGCAGGCGGAGATACCTGCCAGCTATCAAAGATCCAAATCCCTACAGTAAAGCTCATGTATGTTGAATGGAGTGCCTTTTCTTAAATTATTTTTAAAAATTTTCTTTTTAAAGCATTAGATTTCTTTGCATAGCCATGTCTATGGTTTTACAAGGTTTGTGAGCCATCTTGGTCATGACCTTCCACTTCTCACGTAGTTCATTGTTCCCTCAGTTGTTCTCTGAGTAACAGAGCTTTTGTCATGGTCTGTTTGACGTAAGTCTTCTGTGACTGGGTGTGCAGCTGTCATCACTGTGCTAACCTTGCTTCAGAACTCCCACGTTGGAACTGGAGTGAGTAATTTATTGAAATCAGTGGACATGATTTAAAAAAGCTTCCACACAGTGGTATGCTTTAACTCTTCAGGTTGAGTTCCTCCCACTCAGCAGTCTTTGTATGTTACATGCTGTCAGCACTTGAACAAGAAAGGGCATTTAAGTCCTATATTTTTGGGGTATTTGTTCCTTTTCTTATTTTCCCTCAATGGAAAATTGCTCCAACTTGTTAGATAAATATTTAGTTAGTATATGCCTTGGCACTGGCATTGTTTTTTTTCAAGGTCATTCTGAACACATCTGTCATGGACTATACTTCACTAAGGGTGAATTGACTTCCTGGAGAGATGCTGACACATTTCTGTGGGGAGGAAACATTATACTCCTCAGCAAAAAGCTGGATCGTGTGGAATTAAAGACTAGGGTAGAAGAGGGAGGAAGTGGGGGAGTTGGTACTCCAAGTAGCTGACAGGGAAACAAGAAGATTTTCAAGAAACTTTTGAAATTGTTTGACCATTTAAGCTGAAGAATACTTCAGCATGAAGCTTTGTAGACACATCTCCTGTTCAAATTGGATTTATTCTTTATAATCATATTAAAGACCAGTTAATGAACTAGACTAGGGTAGAAGAGGGAGGAAGTGGGGGAGTTGGTACTCCAAGTAGCTGACAGGGAAACAAGAAGATTTTCAAGAAACTTTTGAAATTGTTTGACCATTTAAGCTGAAGAATACTTCAGCATGAAGCTTTGTAGACACATCTCCTGTTCAAATTGGATTTATTCTTTATAATCATATTAAAGACCAGTTAATGAACTACCTTCACTTTCATTTTGGTATCCTCATAACGTTTTGCACATGTTTCAGCTCCAACCACAGAGAGAAGAACCTTTGAATACAGTTTTCTTGTCTGAGGAAGGGATTAGTAGACATGTTGCTTGTGTCAAAAAAATGGTGGTCTAGTGGTTGTTTTTGCCCAGCTGGAATGCTCTGTCAGTCAGGGTTCAGGGTAGCAGACCTGACTGTTAGTCCATGAAGTCCAACTTCTTGCCTTAGATTGTCCATTCCTGGTGGTTTTGAAGATAGGCAGAAGTGTCTCATGGTGCTTGGATTAACTGAGAGATTTTTCTGCTCCTTGTGAAATTGTTACCATGTGTATATGCTTCTCCTTCTTGTGATTTGTGACTCTTGCGGGTTATTACTCTCAATATTAATTCATTTTAAATTTGTAGAAATCCTTCTTTTCTCAGTCATCTAGAGGAATTTGGGTGTGAAGTTAGTCTATAATGTGTCGTTCTTTCAGGCAGACAGAACAAACTCTTTATCTGGAGGATTTACTATGCCTGTGTTTGGCCATGTTTTTATTATTTTTAATTAAATACATGTGACATGCTGGATTTGATTGGGTTTTTTTTGAGGGGGGCGTGAGTTTTGAGAACAACTCTCTCTGTTCAGGCAGAACGACAGGCTGTGAATACAACTGTTCAAGGGTCTGCTGCAGATATTGTTAAAACAGCCACTGTGAACATTCAGAGACGCCTGGAAGCTTTCTCCTCTGTGATCAAGTCCCATGGACACCTGGAGAGCTCCTTCCAGAGGGATAATACTGGTATGTTCAGCTCTTCTTTTTGCTCTAGAGCAAAATTTTAAGTTGTTACTAATGTTGAAAAAAAAAGCCTGAAAAATATTTGTACCTTTGTGTCTAGGGATGGGAAATATTTTATTTCCTGTGGTAAGCTTGTGTTGTATTTCCAGTGGTAAGTTTGTGTTTAATGGGCAAAGAAGTCATAAGGAAGGAGGGAGGATGTCTGCTCAGCACACAAACTAAAGCAAATGCTGTGATCAGAACAGAAACTTGTTACCTCAAAGCAGATCTTGCAAAGGTTGGCAGTGGGGAGTTCATGTGTGATGTGGTCTGTGATGCCACCACAGAATTGTTCAGAAGTAGGAAGGAGGAGCTGAGCAGGCCCTCTGGCTTCAGAGGCAGTGAAAAGATTGAGTGGAACAACTTCTAGTTCAAAAAGTACGTTATGTAGTTAGAATTAAGTCTGGAATTTGTTGACTGGAATTTGATGTACAGAGGCTCTGCAAGAGTATTATATGAGCACTTACGAGCATACATTTTTTCTGTCTGCAGTTAGCAAAGCTGTTCTGGGGTGCTCATTCCCAGAGGAGTGCCACAAAAACCTTTTATAGCATAATGCAGACAGTTATTTTTTCATCAGTCCAATATTTTTAGAAGGACAACTTAAGGGATGGGGTGCTATATTTCTTTGATAGTTCTTATGCTTCAATTGAAATGTGAAGCTGTCTTCATAGGAAGAGTCTGATTTGTAAGCTCAATAATTAATTGCCAAACGTCTAAAAATATGTCAGGGAGTTTTGGAGAGACAAAATTGAAAGGTCAGCTATGAGTAGCAGGCATGTGGCTTGGCAGAACTTCACAGCCCTTCCAGGAGCAGCAGCTACTGACCTTTGGGCAGTGTAATTGTGGGGAGGTGGGTAGATGCATTTGTGACACTTTTCCCCCCCCTCTGGTACTAAATGATTCTAGAACTGGAAGGAATTATCTTTCAGCTTTCAGTTATGTGTAACTAATACAAGTTAGATGTGCCTGTGCCATCAGAGGAGCATCCTGTGTATCATGTGGCTTCTTCAACATTGCTGCTTCAGTGTGAGGCTTGTGTGAGCAACTGATGATGCCTTGAAACCTTTGCTGTGAACTGAAGTCCTCCTGTTAGCCAACCTGAGAAATAAATAGCTTTTGAGTCTGTGTGTGTGAGGTTGTGTTTGTTTATTTAAAAAAACAAACAGCTTTTACCATGGAAGGGTTTGTTTTATGTTTGTCAGGGAAGGCCTACCAGGATTCTGGTTTTGTCAGCTGCTTACTGGTTTATTCAATGACTGCTCTTTTTTTTCTTTCCTCTTTTTTAGTCAGGAGTAGTAGCTACAATTTCAGAAGTTGCATTTGGGAGGAGGTTTACTGCTTTTTTAGTGAGACATTAAAATGTTTCTGGAAGAAATGCAGAATCTTAATTCATTGCCAGAGAGAATGTTGTAAACCAGCTTCTGATTAGATTTGACATGGTTTTGTTTAAAATTTACTTTTAAAACAGATGGTTCAGGAGACAGAACTCTCTTGTTTCTGTTCTGATTCATATCTTTATTATGTAAGGCTGAAATGTTTATATCTAAAATACCTTTCATTAACATTTTTCCCTCAGTAGCTGTACAAATATTGATAGAATAGTAATGTTTTGTGGTTTTATCTGTAGGCATGGGCTTTTTAGAACTCATGTTTTTTTCAGCATTGGGAGTGTGCAAAGGTTTTTTGATACAAGAAACACTTTTGCCTAACGGTATCTAACAAACTGCTCTCCACCTTTGTAGGAAAGCTGTGGAGGAAGAGAAATGCAGGGATGTTACATCCCATCAGTGGAGGTTTCTTTATCCTCCAACTCCACGATGAGCTCCTCTATGAAGTTGCAGAGGACGATGTCATCCAGGTACAGCCCTGCAGTGGATTTTTCAGCTCTCTCCTGCATTACACTGTTTCAAACAAGCTTTTCTTCTAGGAGCTCAGATTCTGTTTCCTGGATCCCCTCTCCCTGGGTGCTGAAAGATCTGTGAAAACAAAGTTGAATTAAAGGAAAAAATATGTTTGCTTGATCCCTTCATTTTCAGGCTCAAGCCGTCCTGAACTTCAGGCTGAAGTTAGTTTTAAACATGTTCTTTGCTGCTTATAACAGCAGTTCATACAACTTCTCTGTGAGGCTTGATGAGTGAAGTTAGCCTAGTATTGTGACAGGTGTAGGGGGAATTGTTTCCTCATCTGGAGGTATTTTTGCCACCCTGTTTACACTCTGGTGCCTAACTCAGAGCATTTATTGTTACAGCTATGGTTTGTACTCTGCGTAGGGA